GTGATTCTGATGCATAATGTAAGAACTAAGTGTTGTATGATTAGGAACACAAACGTCAGTGGCCAGGAAACCTGACTCCAAATGCCAGTTCTAATGCTTACGAGGGCCAGGACCACCAATGAACTCCCTGACCTTATTTGAAAAAGAGGAAATGCCACCCAGACCTCAAGTGACCCTGAGGATTACAGATGATGATCCAAGTAAAACACTTAGTACAATTCCTGGCATATTTAGTATGCATTCATGAATTCATTCATTTACCAACAGTTATTAAGCTATTACTAAGTATCAGGAGATAAGGAAGACCTCATTAATTTATTAGTATTAATCTGCAATGATGTCATTAGAAAACATAATTAGGGCAATCTATCTTAATCAGGAAAGTCTCCCCCGAAGTGAGCTGAATGATGAGGCATTCACTGGATGGGAAAGGGGGGAAAAATGCATTTCCAGACAGAGGGAGCATCATAACAAAAGCTATGTACCTGAAGCAGAACACAAAAAGTGCAGTGACTGACTAGGGGTGAAAAGAACACCAGCAAGCACTGTGGAAATGGGGCTGGAAAGTCAGAGGGCCCCAAACGGCTATTAAAAACTTTAGTTTTTCTTAAAAACAACAAAAGCCACTGAAGGATTTTAAACCTGAAGACCATGTGAAATGATCTGCATTTAGAAAATCAGTCACATTGCTTCTCCTCCTTTTGGCTAAGATCAAGTGTAGAAAATCAGTCAGGTGTGGAAAGCTACAGAGCAGGCCACCGTAAATGTAGGTAGGTAGACTGCAATTAAGAGGCTAGTGAAGGGGTCCAGATGAGAAATGAAGATGGCTAGAACTAGAGTGACTAGTGGTGAAGGTTAAGAATAGACAGACTAAAGAAATATTCAATAGGCCAAATCAACAGGATCTATCTATTCACAGATAAGACAGGAAGCATGAGAGGGAAGAAGCTGTCAAACTTCTATACCCATAGAAAGGGATGGGTAATGAGACTAGTAGTCACCTGAGGTAAACGAGAGGCCCTATTTTTCTTGGGGGATAGGGGTAGACGATGAATTTCAAACATGTGAGGATGATTTTTTTTTCAATTGTAGAGTTGATCTGTTACAGAATATTCTATTGTACTTTGAGTGCTTATGGTCCTTAAAAGAACAGGTTTTCACGAGGTTTCTCGGCGGTAAAGTGAGTCCCAACAGAATAAGATCCTTACTTTCCATAAAGTTTCTTGCCTTTACACAATCCCCCAAAAGGATCTTTTATGACTACAGCTTAAAATGATCTCCAAATTTTTACTTACACACTCCTTTCTAAACTTTTACATTTGTGTTAAAAAAAATAAGACAGGAAGTCACATCAAAAAAAGGCTGCAAAGTCCAAAAGGGAAGCTACAAGCACCTGACTTTGAAGCCATAACATGACTGGGTTACACAGTACCAGTCTGTTTTGGAGCATTTTTGTTAAGCTCTATTTTCCAAAACGCAGAGATAGGCTCTTTTGAAAAATTCCTACTCATAGAATCCTTAAAAACAAAATGTCATTAGACAGCTAATTCCTAAACTTGGTCTACAAAAAAACGAGTCTGCAACTTATAATTTTAAGTCACAACCTACATAGCTAGCGCCTTGAAGGCGCTTGAGTCTGGCATCTCATGAAGACTGATAAAGGGGTAGACCTGACAAAATCGGTCTCATTATCACTGATCACAAGTATGCATCCACTCTGATCCCGAGAAGTTCTTGCAGTTTTATCGATCCAAACCGTCCTCCACCCGAGAGTCCAAAGAAGAATGCAGGAGCCCCCGAAGGGGTTTCCAGTCCTAACAAAACACCTGCCCCACCCACCTCTCACACAATAATCTTCCATTCCAGAACCACAGCTGTCAGAGCAGGACGCAGAGCAGCAGGGCCAGGCCGGGAACCGGGTTATCAGAGGCGCATCAGAACTTCGGGGCGCTGTCTCACCCGTCCCGAAGCAGCGTCCAGTTTCCCCAAAGGGAACCAAGGTCCCCCCACGGAAACCCGAGCCCCAAGCCAGAGCGGGGGGCTCTCCTTCCTCTTGACGGCTCCAGCCCGGGCCCGCCGCCTCCGGGCCTCCTCGGGGTGGGGGGCCCGGGGGGGCTCTCAGAAGCGGCCCCCGAGCCCGCCGGTCCCCGGCCCGGCTCCCCCAAGGCCGGCTTCGCGCAGGCGCCCCCCGCCCGGCCGGCAGCCCGCAGGGCCGTCTCTAAGCAACAGTCGCCGGCCCGGGCGGCCCCGGCGGCCTCCTCGCGGCGCGGGCCCCTCCCCATCCCCGCCTCGCCGGCCTCGGGGCTCAGGCTGGGGGGCCGGGGGCGCGGGGGCGCCCGGAGCCCGCGGCGGTCACTCACCTCTCCCCTCGCTCCCCGGAGGGCGCTGCAGGGGCGTTTCCCCCGCCCCCCCACACCCCCTAGCTGCTCGCGGTCGGCCTCGGCTCCCGGCCGCGCCGCCTCACTCCATAGCCGCCTCCACCGGCGCCGCCTCACAGGCTGGAGCGGGAGGAGGGAAGGGGGAGGGGAGGGGAGGGACCGGGGAGGAAGAGTGAGGGAGGGGGAAGAAACCCGAAAGACCGGCCGACCCTGGCATGACGTCACGTCCGGGTGGACCGGAAGGGGCGGGACCCGGGCGTCCTGGTCTCCGCCCCGGCAGCCAGGTGGGGGCGGGGCTACGGGCCGGGGGCGGGGCCGGCGCGCGAGCTCATGGCGGTTCTTTTGACCCAGCGGTTCCGGAGCCTGGGCAGCCGGAGCGAGCTCCCTGGCCCCGGGCGCGGCGGGGCGAGCTTCCTCAGCCCTGAAGGTGGCTTCTGCCGGAAGAGGAAGGCAGGTAACTCTGCAGCTCCGAACCAGATGTGTCCTGAAGGGGGGGTGCACTGAGGGGAGCAGGTTCTGCGGCCCGGGGGTTCGCCCCTTTAGCAGCCCCCACCTTGGCCCGCTCCGGCGCTGGACTCGGGGGCTGCGAACTGACCTTTTCGGGATCTCCCCTCCTGGAGACCGGGGAGGCAGGGCTTCTCAAGCTTTAATTTGCCCACGAGTCACCTGGGGACTTGTGAAGCTGCGGGTTCGCATCCAGGAGGGTTTGGCACAGCGCAGCGAGTTAACATTTACAGGAACGAGGCGTGCAGGTGTAGGTGGCGAGTTCCTTGAGCTCGAGGACTATTTCTTTAACCTCGTCTGTTCGGTGCACGGAGCATACCATGGTCGGCACCACTCCCAGCCTCCCAGACTTCTACACCCACCTCACCCCACCCTGGTCCCTACCTGCCTATCTGCTCGCCCCATCCCCGCCTCCTGTAAACTACCACGCCTTTCTGCTTTTCTCTCTCCGACCCCCACCCCTCTTTTTGTCATATGTATTAGACTATTATGTCAAATTGGGCATCCTGTTTCCAGTTACCCATAGTCAAAGGAAAAGCTTACATTCTTGGACTCTTAACATCAACAACACAAAGCTAGAAACACCGTTCTACACTTTTCCATTCATTCTCTTTTCCTTAATTTTCTTTTTTTAATTAAGGGCCTTCCTGGTGGCGCAGGGGTTAAATCTCAGCGCTACCAAGTCTGACACTGCGACTTGAGTTCTATCCCTGGCCAGGGTCCTGACCACATGGGGCTCAGCAGACCTCGCCTGTCTTTTCTGCAGCTCCCCTCAGCAGTGTATTTCAGTAGATCTGCCTCTTCTCCTCCTTGCTGTCTCAAGTGAATTCTCTCTCTCTCTCTCTCTCTCTCTCTCTCTCTCTCTCTCTCTCTCTCACACACACACACACACACACACGCACCTCTGTCCTACACCCCAGTTGTTATATGCATAAATAAAAATATATTTTTAATTTAATTAAAATTTTAACGGGGTAGAGGGAAATGAGAAGTGATTGCTAGTTGTTTCATTTTTTTTTTTGGAATAATGAATGGTACAGAATTAGGTAATAGTGAATGTACTTTTGTGAATGTACTAAAAACACTAAGTTGTACACTTTAGAAGGCTGTATTTTGTGTTGTGTGAATTATAGACCAATAAAACAATTACTGTCCCAATTAATTTTTTAAATTATATATGCACATTATCAAAATTTAAAAGTATATAAAATAAAAAAGCAAACATCCTGCTTCAACCACCATTCCAACCCTACTTCCCAAAGGCTAATAGTTTGAAGTTTATCTTCCAGACCTTCATTCTGTTGGTTTACATATATTATATGTAAGTTGGAAATTCATTTTACATAAGATGATACAAATAGTTCTGCTCAGCTTGCTGGTTTTTTGTTTTTAAATTATTTTGTTTTTCCTACTTAATGAAATGCTTTCATGCTGTGAACCTCATTCTTCCTAAAGGCTACACAATATTCTGTAGTAAGCCAGTGGCATAATTTATTTAGCTCTTTCCCAGGTGATGGGCATTATTTTCAGGTTTTCATTCATCACAAACTTTTTTTCAGCAAGAATGGCTGACAGTGATTTCATTCAACTTCCTGTCCTAAATCTCTCTCATGAAAAGCTTGCCATTGGTCAGATACACAAAAAGAGGAAAGAAAAATCAAAGATCCTGGTGAAGCCATAGTTCTGTAATATCAAAACTTGAATATACGTTTGGTACATTCCTTTTAAATATGTTCTGGGACATATTTAAGAATAAGTATAGCTACTAGTTTATCTAATGTTAATGATTCGTAAATTCACATAAAAATATATTTCAGGTAAAGCAAGTTCCTAGACAAACATGGTATAATTTAAGTAAATATATTATAAGATTTGTGTAAGATGGGAAGTGAAGAAACTTAAAGACATTAGCAACAGACGTGCCATAAAAAGTATAAGGTTATCAAAATTGAAAAATATATATTTTCATGTACTCTAAAATTGTAGAAACATATGTTTAATTTTCTTTTTCAGGATGTTCTGGTCCTTTTCAAGCTACTCAGCTATGGGACAGTATTATTCATTCCCTTCAAACTCAAGTAGAAATCAAAAGAAGGCGGCATCATTTACGAACATACAAAGACTGTTTTACTGGTTCTGATGCTGTTGATGTAGTATTAAGTCATCTTATGCAAAGTATGTGCCTAAGTAGCAATGACATCTCTCGTCTTAAAGGAGTACGTCTTTGCCAGTTTCTAATGAACAATAAAGTATTTGAACCAGTAGGAATGAAGCTATTCAAAAATGAAAAGAAATTGGAATTTGAAGATTCAAGTAATTGTCTCTACAGGTTTCTAGGCAATAAATCATCTCATAGTTTTTGCAAAAAAAAAAAGGATGCTGAGAACAGGCTTAATAAGGAACTAAAAGCAAAGGAAACTTTAAGGTTAGTGTTAACCAAGATGCATAATTTATTGTATTAGAGCCTGGCAGAATAGTCATCACTGAGCTAAACTGGAATGTTACACATTCTGTGTTGTTATTTTTCCCCAGAAGTCAATAAAAGAAATAACCAGGCAAAAATTAATCTACTTTTGCATTTGTTCTAACACTGTGTAGAGGACATTATCATGTAAATTTTTCTGAATTTATACCAGGAAAAAAGTTTTATTTCCTCTGATAAATTATATGCTTCCTAGTTTTGAAAATGACCTACTCCATTGTAGCAAAAACTATAAGCTTCAATGTTAAGTTTAGAAATAGTATATATTCTTTTTCTTTACATATTTATAATCCTGGTTTGTCTTCTTTTGTTTATGTTATCTATTAACCTTTTGTTTATGTTATCTATTTCAGATGCCTGAAATCCTTTTTGGAAATAGGAAATGTATAAATAAGTTTTTTGTTTTTTTTTTAAGATTTATTTATTTATGTAAGCACTGGGTACAGTCAGAAGCGCGGGAGGGTGAGAGAATTCACTAGAGCCAGAGTGGGGAGCAGAACAGGCAGACTGACGAAGTACACTGCTGAGGGGAGCAGTGGGCACTGCAGGAGAGGTCTGCGGGCCATGTGGGACCCTCACTGGCGGCCAGGGATCGAACCTGTGCTGCAGAGGCTGAGGGCAGCTTTGCAGCCCAGCGCTCAACAGCTGCACCACCGGGGAGGCCCCAAAATAAGTTGTAATAAGTCAATTAGATGTAGATTTGAAATTTTGGTCATATGTATATAATGGAAAAATTTACATATTCTTTCTTAACAGACCAAAAGATGAAATGATTTCAAATCCTATTGTACAAGAGGTTGCTGAGGAAAGAACTGAAGAATTTATTCATGGGAGTGGGAATTTGGCTCTTCCTCCAAATACCATAGTTGACAAACCTGTTCTTTCACTTTCCAAAGAAGGTAATTTAAATTTTTGCTATATTTTTCAGAAATTTATAGGAAGAATTGGCTTTTTTGAAAATAGACTATTATTTAGGACAATTTTAAGTTCACAGAGAAATTGAGCAGAAAATACTGAGTGTTCCAAATGGACCTTCTGAACTCATGCTTTTACAGCCACTATTAAAACCCTACAGCAGGGGGATACATTTGTTACAGTCTATGAACCTGCACTGACAGTTCATGATCACCCAAAGCCCATAGTTTACTTTAGGATTCACAGGTGGTGGTGGTGGGGGGAGTTGTGCCAAATGTTACAATGACATGTATCCACCATTTTAGCCTCCCACAGAATAATTTCACTGCCCTAAAAATCTTTCATGCTTCACCTGTTAATCATCTACTTGTGCTTTTTCTCCCTATAATGCCATTAGGGTGAAAAGAAGTACCCCATACTGGGGCAATTAGGAAAGATACATAAACTATTCATTAAGGCTGACACCCTTATACTGTATTTGCTCAAACTATAACAAAAGCAAGACAAGCATGATTTATGTGTGATAAGGAAACTTGAAGGTGACCAAAGAAAGGGTGTAGAGTGAAAAGAGGGACTAGCAGAGAACCCTGAGGATTCAAAAACACTTGGTAAACAAACAAATCATGACTATGGGTCAAGTTTATACATAGGACCCTGGCCTGGGAACTCAGTGAGAGCTTTATATAACTGTTGCATTTATGATTTTGTTTCATTGTTTCATTTAAAGGAAAAACAAAACATAAATTTTGATCTGATGATGAGGGTAATGTGGAATTTAACTCTTGACAGGAATGACCAGAAACCTAGTTAAGATTAGACTAGTCCTGTATTTTAATTTAAAAACCATAAAATATAATTATGTGTCACTTTGAATAAAATGATAATTTTTTTAATTTTTTAAAATTTTATATATATATATATATATTTAAGATTTATTTATTTATTTATTTATACAAGCACTGGGTACAGTCAGAAGCGCGGGAGGGTGAGAGAATTCACCAGAGCCAGAGCGGGGAGCAGAGCAGGCAGAAGGACCGAAGTACACTGCTGAGGGGAGCAGTGGGCAGCAGGAGAGGTCTGTGCGCCATGCGGGACCCTCCTCCAGTGGCCGGGGAGCAGCCGGGGATCGAACCAGCGCTGCAGAGTCTGCGGGCAGCCTCGCAACCCAGCGCTCAACTGCTGCGCCACCGGGGAGGCCCTAAAATGATAATTTGTAATCTCATATTCTTTTAGATGTGCAAAATAATTTATAAGCATAACTAGTTGCTTTGTACATTTGTTGACCTTATAAGATGGATAATATCATTTTATAATCAAAATAATCAGAAAATGAGATCAATGACTCATGACCCTGATGTCTATTTAAAGGTCATTCTTTTTTTTTTTTTAAAGATTTATTTATTTATACAAGAACCAGGGTACAGACCAGATGTGCGGGAGGGTAAGAGGATTCACCAGAGACAGAGCGGGGAACAGAACAGGCAGACTGATGAAATATATTGCTGAGGGGAGCAGTGGGCGTGACAGGAGAGGTCTGCAGCGCCATGTCAGACCCTCCCCCGCCAGCTGGCTGGGATCTAACAGGTGCTGCAGAGGCTGCAGACAGCTTCACAGCACTGTGCTCAACCGCATGCGCCCTCAGGGGAGGCCCTAAAGGTCATTCTTGAAAAGAAAAATTGTAATTTAGTGAGTTTCAATTACCCTATCATTCATTAAATTAATTATGTTACAATTAAAGTAGCTTTTCTTTTGTATTATTTGGATATTGGTTGTATTTGTGTATGTTACTTATCAATCTAGTAATTACATTATTTTTCTTTCTAAGCTGTGGAAGATGTTTGGAAGCAACAAACATTGTTACGTATTTTTCAACTGATTGACCTTCCATTCTTGGAAAATATTTTGGAGCCTCCAGTTAAAACACAAAATTTTCATTTAAGTAAAGAGGAAGATCTCATTATATCAAACACTTGTCTAGACAGAGATGTTATTCCAAACTTATGTATTCTTGAGTAAGTGAGCATTTTTATGGTCTAATAATTTATGGGTAAAAAGCTCTGTCATGTATTTTGTCTTTGGTATTAAAAGATGTGAGAACATATCCATATGTATAAACTGACACTTTGTTTTATAAACTAATCACCATGAATTCCATTTGGTTTAATAGTCTCACCTGCAAAATCATTGAAAAGCAAGGTGGTTTCTTTCCTATGATTTTTGTCATGACTTGGTAGTTACCTCTCTACACTAGTTCTGAATGTTTTCCAAAGTCCTATCATTTTTGTGTTATGACCCTAATATAAATATCACACAGTTTCTGCCAGTTTATCCCTGCCCTAAAAACAATCCACAGTCTAGTAGGGGATGCATTTATGAAACAAAAAAAAATTGCAATCTAGTAAGATAAGCCCTACCATAATATCAGCCTCACTTATAGAGAAGAGGTTCAGGGAACCCTATAAACCGAATGAATTCCCCTATCTTTAATTCCCAATTCCAAGATATTTGTCACTCATGAATAAACCAGCTGCTAATTGTAGTTACAAGATTTTGGGTACTGTTGGAATTCCAGCAGAGAAAACTGATTTTCTTCCACATGCACCAAACGGGGAAGAACATTAAACTCCAAGCTTCAGATCTTGGAAAGAGCTTGGTGATCCGAGGTCTGTGGACCCACGAGATAGTAATCGTGGTCTTGTTTGCACATGACAGGTTTTTCTAATTCAGTAGGCCAAGAACAGTCCAAAGGATTGAGACTTCCTCAGCCCTTGAATAAGGGAGATTATAGTGATACCAGAATAGAAACAGCATTTTTTTTATATGCCTCTGCAGGAAGTAGCAACTAGTCTGCCTTTATAAGCTTTCAGGAAGAAAGAGGTTACCCGTAACAAGGAAAGCAATCCACCTCTAATTAATCATTTATCTGTGACTTCTAGGATGTAGAAGGCAGTAAATCCCACATGTTAGGCAGGATATACCATTCACCTGTCAGAGGGGAAATAAGAGGAAAGAAAGACACTTGAAGTCGTCAAGAATTTGTAGAATGCATCACTCAGGAACCCTATCTAAATAAACTATTTGAGCAAAGATTTTAATCAGACTGAAAGAAATAACCAAAACCCTCACATGGAAGCTTACTATGTTTTATCAAGCAATGTGTAGGTAGTGAAATGGAAATGTTAACCATTGATTTGTTTTTTTTTTTTCTTCCAGGATTGACAACTGGCTTAATGCAGCAATTGAATGCTTGGAATATTTCCCTGACCAGTTAATAGTTACAGTTAGTCAGCAGTTAGTGCAAAACAGAAATGAAGAGTCAAGATTGAATATACAGAAGAAGATATTCTTTGATGTCATAGTAAAATATTACAATCAAGAGAGAGATTGCCTATTAACTGATGAGTATTTTGATATTCAGTCAGGAATTATTGAACTTCTAGGTAAGAGAAAATATTTAAACTTTCACTTTTATATAAAAAGCATTTTAAAGATATAAAGTAGAAAATTTTATGTGTTATACAATTACTACAAATTTTAATGTTTTTCTTCTGTGTGTCAAGGTACTCTCTTGTAGCTTGCTTTTTTTTTTTCCTTTATGAATATTGCCAACTATGTAACTCTTACCATTATATATAACTAATGCATAGGCCACTAGTTCTAAGGTACATTATGCCACAGGGATATTTTAAGAAACCATTTGATTTAATACAGAATTAGGGAAGTGAGATATCAGGAAATAATAATTTTTGATGTATTCATTTGGTGACTTTAGCAAAATGAAAATTGACTGACATAATAACATGTCACTTTTTTAGCTTTGTAGGTGGCCATGGCCATATAATTTCATGTTAAACACTGTTTGTGCTGGATGTAATTACACAGGTTTATAGTATAATATAATTTCCTGTGTATTTGAAGTATTTTATAATAAAGGTGTTTAAGAGTAAAAAGAATCCTCAAACCAAATATATAGCATTTTAATTGATCATATTCTCCATTTTAAAGTATAGTGTTCTTCATTCCCCCCCATATTTTCTCTTCTTTGTTTTGCATGTAATAGAAAATGAGAAAAGAGCAAAAGCACTTGAGGCAACACAACTATATCTGAGATTGTTGCTGCCCAATATTAGAGAAGAATTACGACGGCTACTTACTTTTATGGCTATTGCATCAGAACCTAGTGCCTACAAGTTACAAAAGCAGGTGAAAAAACATTACAATAACAGGTCTACAATTTTCTGCTATTTTTCTTTTAAAAACCATTTAAGGTAATATTATCTTTCTGTTTACAGTGTGATAACAAAACTGTGGTCCTGAAAACTCTTGCCAAAGCAGTTTTGCAAACCAAATCATTATTAAAAGTACAGGCGGAACAACTAGTCTGGTTTCTACTGGAGTTTCACACTGAGCTCTTCAAGGTATCTCTGGCATTTTGCCTGGACACATTTATTACTAAGATATTCATGTCGAACAAAAAGGCAAATCATTCACTCAATAAATAATTTACTGAGTATAATGTGCAAAGTTTGAGGCACACTAAAGGGAAGGAAGAAGACTTTAAACAGTGTCAGTATTTACAAGTGTATCAATTAATTTTGTCAGCCTGTCCCTGGTGCACTATTATATGCCAAGCACTGTTCTATGTGTTTAGAAAACATCAGCAAACAGAACACGAAGATTTAGGCCCTTAAGGAGCTTATATCCAAGTGGGGGACAATAGATAATTTTAGAACACCTCACACAGTAAATCATCAAATCACTTAGTTTGGTGGAAGGCAATAAATGCAACTGAAGAAATCAAAAGGGCAGGTTAAGGGGATTTAGGCAGGTTTAGGGTGGGGGTGAGCAATTACTTACCATATAAATAGGCTGACAAGGTTGGTCTCACAAGGAAAGTGAGATTTGAGCAAAGACTGGAAGAGGGGACAAAGTTGACCAAATGTCTGTGAGGGTGGAGATCAAGTGGCCTTGGGCAGAGAGCAGAAGCCCTGGGGGTGTTGTGTGCCTGGATGCAAAGAACAGGTAATCAGAGGGGAAAGTAGCATGAGATGCGATTAGAGAGGTGTAAGTCATTGAAGGAATGTCATTCTTTCTCAACCTGCCTCTATGTGAAAGAATTTACCTCTTTCCTATGTATGGCCCAAATGTTGGAAAGGACGCTTTTGTTTTTCTATCTACATTAGAACTGGCAGCATAAAGAAACAGAGTGGCTGAACTGATGTAGTGGGCCACAAAAGGAGAAAAGAACTTGGCATGAGTGGAGGAAATGAGGTGGTAGGATTTAGGAAACATGGAGAAAGGGCTCTGGTGACTGTTTTCTTGAGATTATGGCATGAATATTTATGGAGGTGGAGAAGGGGGCATGGGTATGATAAGGCTTTAGAATATGCCAAGCTTTTTCCGGATACAGGGCTTTACCTATCCAGTCTACTGTTGGTCTGGAACATTTTCTCCCAAATATTATGCCTCCTTCACATCTGTTCAGTTCTCTACTCAAAATGTCATCCTCTAAGAAACACAGAAACCTTCCTGAACCATCTGAGATATTTGCCCAGCTTCACTCTAGCCCCTTACCCTGTTTTATGTTTTATTGATGGCATTTACCACTATTTGAAATTATATTATATATTTGCTGTTTTTGTTTTTTTTTAACATTAACTTTGTCTCCTGAGAATGTAAGTTCTATGAGTTCAGAAACTTGATTTGCTTATTCATCACCTAGAACAAAGCCAGGAACATAACACTCACTCAATTTTTACTGAATCATAAAGTGATGAATAGGGACAGCTTCATAACTACAAATTGGCAGAAAAAGTAGAAACTAATGGAAAGGTAGTCTAGGTTCCAGGATGAAGCCCTGTCTGGATATGAACTTCAGGGTTGGTACATCCAGGGAGTACCCTTGTCACACTATCAGCTGAGAGGTTATGTCCAGCAGATAATGTGTTGTAGCCTGGGATTACCTTTAGTTTAACCAAATTTGGAAAAAGACTATTTACCTATTTTAAGAAAGGGAGATTTTAATATATATGAACTACTATTATTTAAAGTAGAGCTATTATTTACATATGGATTATATAATTATAATATAAGATATTTATTATTTACTAGTGCTATTAGGGAAACATAAATTTATTATTTTAAAAGGACATCTCAAAAATGTTTAGTTAACCTAGTTTCAGATTACAGGACTGTACCCATCCAGTCTGCTGTTAGTCTGGAATGTTTTTTGGTTATGTACATACATTCAAGTAGAAAAATAGAATTTTAAAAACTAAAAATCATTGGGCCTCCCTTGGTGGTGCAGCGGTTGAGCGCTGGGCTCAAAGCTGCCCACAGCCTCTGCAGCGCTGGTTCGATCCCCGGCCGCCGAGCAAGGGTCCCACAGGGCTCGTGGACCTCTCCTGCTGTGTCCACTGCTCCCCTCAGCAGTGTATTTCGTCAGTCTGCCTGTTCTGTTCCCCCTCTTGCTCTGGTGAATTCTCTCACCCTCCCGCGCTACCCAGTGCTTGTATAAAGAAATAAATAAAATCTTAAAAAAAAACAAAACTAAAAAACATTAAAAGTTTTCATACCCTTTATAATTCAAAAGGACTTCTGCCATTTCCCCCCCTCCTCCCCACCAACACGTGCATTCCTCATCCCTACTCATGGGTCATAAATATTGAGGTGTTTGGTTTTTTTTTTCCTTCTCTATGTTGGAGTCCTGGCTAGAAATTGTATTAAATATTTGAAAATATCTGTTTTTATTTAGACGCCAGTTATTTTATTGGATCTGGTTAGTAAGAAACTTAAGATGATTCTACATGGAGAAGATCCAGATGCCATATCAGGTATCAATTCAGATTTGTTCCTACTTTATCATTAAGTGACTTTTATAGCCAAGTTGGGAAGGAGCCAAGGTTAGGCCTGTAATAAATATCTAATGTCATAAAAGAGGTTACAGTATTCTTACTCTGCAATGAAAACATGAGTGTAAGTAGTAGTTATCTACCACATTTTGAAAAAATATAAGTCCAGCATAAGGCCAGTTTGGATAAGTACATTTTAGTCATTTTTTAAATTTGTTTATCCAATTGTATTTTTCTTCTAAAGGGTTCACATTTTGCCAACGTTTGACATATAAGGAATTCGAAAAACAAAAGGAAGAGAAAATTCATTATCTTCACCAGTTGGTTCTTGAAATTAATAGTAATCCCACCATCTCTCTGAAACAAAAAAAGAAATTAATTAAGGAATTTCAAAAACACCATCCACAATCTTTGCATTAACATTTCTGCTACAAGAAACTACAATTTGTAAAGATGAGCAGCTCTCTGGTAGCTTCCTCAAACTAGTACTTACACTTCAGGGACAGACTAGCCTCTGAGTATTGTAAGTATAATCATGCTTAAAATATGTTAAAGATGTTTTTAATTTTAAAAGGGAATTCAAGTTATTCTTCATGTTTGCTGAATTCACTTAAATTATTGTACTGCTACAATTACTGGGTGCTGCTATGTTAGGGATCTGATCATTTCCTTAAGATTCTTTTTCCCACAGAAAATATTTCATAATGAGTTCTCTAAAGAAAACATGCATACACTTTAATATATAGTTGACTCTTGAATAGCACAGAGGTTAAAGGTGCTGACCCCCCATGCAAAAGAGTCCACATATAACTTCTGATTCTCCCAAAACTTTTAATTGCTTGCTATTGACTGGAAGCCTCATAAATAACATAAAGTCAATAGCACTTTTTTTATATTATGCGTATTATATACACTAATCTTAAAGGATGCTAGAGAAAAGAAAATGTTGCTAAGAAAATCGTAAGGAAGGGAAAATACATTTACAATTATGTGCTATATTTATTGATACCGTAAGTTTACATCTTCTCTTTACAAGGTGATTGTCCCTCTGTCGGTATCAACATCAATATTGTCTTACATGTACAAAACACTACATAGATATTAAACATCACTAATACTAGACATCAAAAATAAAAAAGATGAAAAATGCATATTTATTTTATTTCAAGTATTGGTAATAAAAAAACCAATGATTGCAGTGAATATTTATTGGGGAAATAAAGTATGTATAAGTGCACCCACACAGTTCAAACTTCTGTTGCTCAAGGGTCAAGTGTGTATTATTTTTAAGTTAACCCCTTGGGTTACTGGGACTTAAAGACTATGAATCATGTAGGTTAACACAAAATAAAAGATTTTAAAAGCCACAAATTTTAAATTCATAAATATCTAAAGTATGATTTTGCTTTCTCTCTTAATTCTTTAGTCCATGTAGTATTTTATGATTTTTTTTCTTTCCTTTTCTCTGTTTTTTAAGGTGGTTAGTTCACTATGTGATAGTCTCTTATTAATATGGCATAGGTTAGAGTCAATCCCTTTTGGCAGCAACTGAAAACCATTCTCTTGTGATCTTCATCACAGGGAACAAGAAACTCAGAGCATAAGTACTTGAACAAAAAAAAAATTAGACTGTAAACATACTGTAAAATGTTCTCGGAATCACCCTACCCTGCTCTAGCAAAGAGAACATGGACTTAAAGTCTGTGAAACAGTTACTCAAAATCTGCTGCCTATGAGTAAGCCAGCCTTTTCAACATCTAGTGACCAAGGAGCTAACTAAAGAGTATTTTAACAGTGGGCACTGAGCCTTTCCATCTCAACCATACCTTCTTTAGAGAGGAAGAGATTAAATCCCAGCATTGACTTCCTGTACACGTAGACAGCGTCAATGTATCTTTAGGTCAAAACAACTTAGAACCAGAAACCTGTAAAGAATGATTATGCTGTGGCAGCAGCTGCCCTGCCTGCCTGTGACTATGCGAGTGTTTGTCTTCAACAACCTCCTCCCTTTGCAAAGCAGCAGAGGCATCTCTCTTCCCAAGACTGGCCATCTGTGACCATGGAGGCCTTTTTAACAACGCTGTCCCTTTCAGGGGTAGCTCTTTTGCCCCACATCTGTCTTGCAAACATCCATAACTTTCTTTTTTATAATAAACCTGCCCTTTTGAATAGACATATTTTTAAAAAGTCTTTAATGTCAATGACTCATTGTTCCTATCAAATACCTTAAGTCAAATTTATGATACTTGGAACAGCTCTCACAGAGTAAAATGTATTGAATTGCTTTTTGGGTTTGAATCCTCACTTTGATTATCTAATAAAATGTTTGTCTAAGAATCATTGAGACTTTTATTCCTGCTAGCAGAACTAACGTCATCAGTTTTCTTTCTGTTCAAAAGTGTATCATTTGTCTCAGTTGTCTTGAGTTTGAATGCATAGAGATAAAAGTTCTCAACTAAGTCTATGATATAGTTTCAGAGGACCAAAAGTACAGTGCATTTTCTGAAATTGTGTGCAGTTTTTTGTGTATGTGTGCTTATGGCATTCTTCTAGGGAGAGACCCAAAACTTTGATTTTATATATATATATATATATATATATATATATATATATTCACCCCCCTAAATTTTGCTTTTACTTTTACTTTGTGGCACAGGGGTTAAAGTCTCAGCACTATCAAGCTATTATCGCCAGCCACTGCTGCAAAAGTTTGATCCCTGGCCAAGGAGCTAAACCACAAGGTGCAGCTGACCTCTCCTGTCTTTGCCCGCTGCTCCCCTCAGCAGTGTATTTCAGTAGATCTGCCTGTGTTGCTTCCCGCTCTGTCTCTGGTGAATCCACTCACCGCCTGTACCTCTGGCCTGCAACTCTGTTCTGGTATGCATAAATAGAAATAAATCTTTAAAAAAACTTTTTTTAAAAGCAAGCACATTAAGCTAAATGAATTCTAAGCTCCTGCCTATTTAAAACAAATCAATTCTACAACACTAGAAGATGTATTTGCCCTAGTCTCTGTGCTTATTTTTACAATTGAGAAGAAATTCATATACTCTCAGTATAAGACCTGAAAGGTTGGCTTTGATCCATTTGGGCTCAAAAGGGAAAATATTAGCAACAGACCACCTTAAAATAAGGTGAAATATAACTTAGAAATAGTGGAATTACTAAAAACTAGAGTTGTTCAGCAGCCATTAAATGTTTTAATATTAAATTAAATGACATCCCTATAGCTTATTTAGGAACATTCCCTACTGGAGCTTATTTTGAGCAATACATATACAATACTTTGTTTACAGAGAAGATTGACTTTTACTGAATGGTTTTTGAAGGTGCTGAGAGGTTAAGTCCTGAAAAAAAATTCCTAATTTAGCATACCACTCCACCTAGTGACAGCTCCATAAATTACAGTTATTATGCTTAAAAAGAATTCCCCAGGATATCGCCATTCAGTTTTTTTTTTTTTATAATAAATTTTATTTTTATATTCCCCCATACAATTGCAAACACCCCATTCTGACCCCAATCCTTCCCCTCCCGTCCCCCACCCCCCAAAAAGTGTCTCTGGTTCATAGTTTTTTGTTGATTTTGATTTTCACTTTCTTATATTCATTTTCCTGGTCCCTTATTTAAGTTTTCTAGATTCCTGCTATGAGTGAGACCATCCGGTATTTTTCTTTTTCTTTTTGGCTTATTTCGCTGAGCATGATCCCTTCCAGCGCCATCCATGTTGCTGCAAATTGCATGTGTTTATCTTTTTTGAATGCTGAGTAATATTCCATGGTATATATGTACCACATCTTCTTGATCCAGTCATCTATTTTTGGGCATTTGGGTTGTTTCCAAAGCTTAGCTATTGTAAACAGTGCTGCTATAAACATAGGGGTGCAGGTGCTCTTTGGAATTGATGTTTCTGTGTCCTTTGGGTAAATACCTAGGAGTGGAATTGCTGGATCATATGGAAGCTCTATGTTTAGTAGGTCCAGAAATCTCCACACAGCTCTCCAGAGTGGTTGGACCAGTTTGCACTCCCACCAACAGTGCAGGAGAGTTCCTTTTTCTCCACACCCTCGCCAACATTTGTTGTTGCTAGTTTTTTTAATATGTGCCATTCTCACTGGTGTAAGATGGTATCTCATGGTAGTTTTGATTTGCATTTCCCTGATGACAAGTGATGTTGAACATTTTTTCATATGCCTGTTGGCCATTTGCATTTCTTCTTCAGAGAAGTTTCTTTTTAGCTCTTCTGCCCATTTTTTGACTGCATTATTTTCTTTGTTGTTGTTGAGTCTCATCAGCTCTTTGCAGATTTTTGTGATCAGTCCTTTATCATTAGTGTTGGGTTCAAAAATGTTCTCCCAGTTGGTGGGGTTTCTCTTTGTTTTTGTTATTGTCTCTTTTGCTGTGCAGAAGCTCTTTAATTTGATGTAGTCCCAGCTGAACTTTTTTGAGGAATTTATGTGCAAAGAATTGTTCCTGTAAAAATGAAATCTAGCTTCTATCACAAAAACACTTACCTTTTGCTAGAAATATTCAGTGAATTTCCAGGAGAATTAATCTAATTTATGATGCTTACGATTCTGCTCAAACTTCAGGTTATTCACATTATCAGGTACTATCTAAATATTTTTTTTTTCTTTTTTTTCTTTTTTTTTTTTTTGTGGGACCCTCGCCAGTGGCCAGGGCAGCTTCACAGCCTCGCAACCCAGCGCTCAACCACTGCGCCACCAGGGGAGGCCCACTATCTATTTTCTAATTCAAAAGAAATGAATTTAATTTATTTATTTAATACAATTTATTTAATTCATATATTTAATACAAAAATGTGCAAGATAGAAAGCAATTCTTGTGACCATTTTTGAAAAAAATCTTAACTTTCTATACGCTCTACAAGTAGATTTGGGAGTGCTTTTATTATGAAAATTTTTGTGTGCTAACATGGATGGAGCTGGTAGGGATCATGCTCAGTGAAATAAGCCAGAAATAAAAAGAAAAATACCAGATGGTCTCACTCGTAGCAGGAATTTAGAAAACCTAAATAAGAGACCAGGAAAAAGACTAATTGCAATAAAGTAAAAATCAAAATCAATAAGCAACTATAGACCAGAGACACACTACAGTGGGGGGCAGGGGAAGGAGAAGAGGGATTAAGGTCAGAAAAAGGGGGTGGGAATTGTATGGGGAATATAACCAAAATGAAAATGCATGCATTATGCAAAAATGAAAAATGATATAAGAATTACATAAAATAATTTATTTAAAAAACTTGTGTGCTAGAAAGATTTAGGAACATAAAAACCAAAAAGTGGGTTTTGTATTCCCAGCGCTGTCCCTTAACCCTGTGACCAAGATACTGTTCAACAACTCAGTTCATTGCAGGTGTAATTCAATATTTGACCTATGCCAGACCCTCTGTACACCAGGTTTAACTTTTTTTCTCTTTTGTATTAGTGAACCACCATGGGGTCATAGATATAGTTTAAGGGGAAGGTAAAGAGTGCAGTAAGCATAGCTGCACTGAGCGGGAGCTCATGTAGTTTATATTTCCAGTCTGGGCCCAATTTCTTGTGCACCATGCTCACTTGACAATGGCATACCACTGTGCTTGCCTAACCTGAAGCGAGGAAAGGAAATGATCTGAGGAAGCTGAACCATAAGCAGCATTTGTGATTGTTCAATTTGCATGAAGATGGGACTGGAGATGACAGGTAATGGTTAGACCAGAGGATTAGACTCAAGAATTACAGGTAAGAAACCTGGGAACAAGAAGCTGTAGAAAAGAAATATGTGGATGGGCACCTAAGAATAGGCCACATGTGAGGGTTTTGTGATCCTGTATGAAAGTTCATCAAAAGGCCCCTCTCTCCAATTGTTCTTATCTCCTTGGTAGTTTTCTCCTGCCCTGATCTGGGAGATGGATTTTCTTGTTTCTCTTTTTTTCCATCTTTTTTTTTAAAAGATTTATTTATTTATTTATACAAGCTCTGGGTACAGTCAGAAGTGTGGGAGGGTAAGAGAATTCACCAGAGCCAGAGCAGGGAGCAGAACAGGCAGACGGACGAAATACACTGCCAAGGGGAGCAACAGGTGGCAGGAGAGGTCTGCGCACCATGTGGGACCCTCGCTTAGCCGCCGGGGATCGAACCGGGGATTGAACCGGTGCTGTAGAGGCTGCAGGCAGCTTCGCAAACCAGCGTTCAACTGCTGCGCCACCGGGGAGGCTGTTTTCCATCTTTTATAAATTCCTCCACATTTACTTGTCAGTGGTATCCTTTTTGTTTGCTAGATTCACTGAAGGATTTAATCCATCAAAATATAGTATGAGCTGTTTCATACACATAATATATAGATTCTGATATAAGAACACCCACATATCCACCCCTCAGCTTGAGAAATGTTGCAAATATGTCATTGAAGTGCTCCCTGTGCATTCCTCCTTGATCTCATCTACCTCCCTCCTCTCCACTGGAAGTGTTTAAGGGATAAAGAGAGGTGGAAAGTAGATGAACTGGATTCTTTTGCTATACAAAGCAATCTCGGGCAAATCTGAAAACTTAAAACCAAGATACTGATAGAACTAAGTGTGAGCACACATACATGCACACACAGGGCATAGTAGCACTTCTTGGGTCCCTTTGGGAGGATATTCTGCCACTTTGCCACCAAAGGGTGACCACAGCCCCTTGAGGACATGTGTCAGTGATTCTTGATTGTAGAATGTAAAGACAACATGAAAGGGCAACATTGCCTGTGAAGTGACACCAGAACTTAGTACTTTTTTTTTTTTTTAAAGATTTATTTATTTATGCATACAAGAGCTGGGGTACAGGCCAGAGGCGGGTGAGAGGATTCACCAGAGACAGAGTGGGGAACAGAACAGGTAGAGCAACTGAAATACACTGGGGAGGGGAGCAGTGGGCAAGTCAAGAGAGGTTTGCTGTGCCATCTGGGTTGCTCCCTGGCTGGCTGGGGATCGAATTCGTGCTGCAGAGGCTGCGGACAGCTTCACAGGTTGCATCTTAACCACTTGCACCACCAGGGAGGCCCAGAACTTAGTACTTTAAAAAATAAAAGTTTTCTCACCTTCCACACCTAACTTCTACCTACTGTTTTAGATTCATCAATGCCCTTCCCCAGTTGGCAACTAAAACATGTTATTTCATGCATGCAATTTGCAATGACAAAGTATAAATTCTGATGCATCTAAGTTCTCTCTCAAATTCTGGTGAATCTCAAATTATCATCATCAATATTGTCCCAAAGTAATGAGTTAATATACCACCTCAATAATTTTATTTAGAGCTAATGTCAAATGTTCTTTGAAATCAACTCACCACATAATATTAAAACATCTGTAGCAAAAAGCTTTCAAAAGTTAGGTGGATATTGAAATGGATGAGAGCTTTGATGCTTGAGATAAAAAATTAGGGTCTATAGTCATTAATTCATAAATGAATTTTTGTGTCAAAAATAAAGCATTTTGAGCCCACCCTGCATAATTAGCTTGCTATAGTAAGGATAGCAAGTATAGTAAGTATGTAAATACACATTCTCAGTAGAGTATAACAAATCAAAAAAATGGTGTACAATTTTTTAGGATTAAAAAAAAGTTTATAGTAAACACAGGCTTATTAAAAAAAAAAAAACTCATGCTACAAATGTTAGTATTTTGGTTTAAAAACTTATATAGTCCCAAGTATGCACATTTTAACAAGCATACATTACACTTTTTTTTTGAGTGAAGGGACACATCTCTGCCAACACAAAAACACTTCAATAAATTTAGTCTCCACCTTTTCAAACTTAAGTAAAAAAGAATATTAAATATACACAAGGCTAGTCTGCTCAACTTTAGTACATATAAATAAAAATGACATTAAAAAAAAAACACTTCTACAAGAGAGAAAAATCTATCAGACTAAAAACACTGCAGTCAACTCCTAGTCATAGTCACACAAAACTACTAAGTACAACTGGCCAATAATAGTTATTTGTGTTTTCAGCTATGAAGAATTAAATGGAAAATGCATTCACTCATCTTAGAATGAAACATTAACTCTGAGAAACAGCAGCTCTGTACAGTAGTCTAGCTCCGAAATGAAAACAATGGACTGAGTTACAGTTAAAGGCTGAGAAGCCTTTGAAAATTAGCCATGGATCAAAGTATTTACATAAATTCAAATATTTATCTTAAGATGAGAGGTAACCCAGGTCCTTAATCTCCTTTGATAAGAACACCATACTTAAATCTTAAAGTCACAACTAGTCAAAACTTTCATTCAGAAATGTTCCTTAAATATCAAATTTCTCTTCACAGACGCTATGTCCATTTTCTTCATAATCTTCTCTTGTTACCACCATATCTTCAAAATCGTCATTCTCTGATATCAATTTTCCACCTTCCCAAGCATAAGTAATAGGGCTAAAAATAAAGGTAAATAAAGATAAATGGTTTTACAGAAGCAAAATGCTAGAATGAGGAACTAATGAGGAACTAAACTGTTAACAATCTCTATCTCTACTAAACTTGATTTAACAGAAAATCACTTAAAGTGTGAAATAAGCATAAGCGTCATAGGTGTAATACAAACTCAGAAAAGAAAGGAACTTTGGTTACTCCAAATAAATGTTCATTTTTTCCCCCAATAGCCTGAATTTATGGATCCTTTATACCTACTAAAAAATAAGAATATAAACAAAAGATCCAAAATGCCTAAAAGGATAAAAAAATAACAGTCTAAATTCTGTATGTGACAAAGATATGTCATCCCATCAATTCTCACAGAAAACCATGAAATAACTATTATAAATAGCTATAAATAGCTCCCATTTTACAGATTTGGAAAGTGAGGTCAGGTTGAGACTAGAACTATGATTTAACCCAGTCTGTTTCTGCTGCTACACTGTTGCCTCTGCTAAGTAAAAACATTAAGAAAAAATACTGCATGACAACTGTTACATGATAAGACACAGACAATACTTAAAGCTGGAGCACATAAAACATTTAGTTTGGTTATGATTCAATTATATTTCTAATGGTTCCTCCCAATTCAAAGTTTCAAATCTGAAAAATGCCAAAAAAAAAAAGTGTCTTCTTATGTTGTATTTATTACATTCCATTACCTTTGAGAAATAAAAGCAGTAGATATTCAATAAAAATTTGCTGACTAAAGGATTAGAAACTATTTCATATGCGAGTCCCTTGGCCTGCAATGTGTCCATGACTTGCATTTTAAATACAGAATAAAAATCTAATATGCCACATACTCTAAAAAGGGTACAAAAACATTAATGTTCATAAAAATCATTCTCACATCTAATGGTAGTTTATTCTTTTATCTTACAGTCATAAAATTAAGTGATGGGATAAAAAATTCTATTTCACCACTACTGATTTTGGAAAACTTCTACTTTAGCTTTATTTTTTTTATTTTTTTTTTTATTTTTATTTTTTTATTTATTTATTAAGATTTATTTTTTTATTTATACAAGCACTGGGTACAGTCAGAAGCGCGGGAGGGTGAGAGAATTCACCAGAGCCAGAGCGGAGAACAGAACAGGCAGAAGGACCGAAGTACACTGCTGAGGGGAGCAGCGGGCGGCAGGAGAGGTCTGCGCGCCATGTGGGACCCTCCTCCAGTGGCCGGGGAGCAGCTGGGGATCGAACCGGCGCTGCAGAGGCCGCGGGCAGCTTCGCAACCCAGCGCTCAACCCTCAACCGCTGCGCCACCGGGGAGGCCCTCTACTTTAGCTTTAAATCAAAATTAGAATTAAACAATCAGGTATATGGCATCTTGTTTTCAACCCTGCCTTTTAAGCTGAGATATGGGGCGTTATTTACATATATATTTGTTACCAGCTGCTCATTCAAGGAACAAACTGGATTGCTGTCTGGTCACTGCTATTAGTGCATTATAAAGCTTCTGCCAAGTCATGAACCCTTGCTTTTTAATTTACAAAGTGAAAATATTAAACAGAAATATCTGCTAGCAAGCCTTTCTCACAGTTTTAAAGTTCCATGCTAATTTTTTTAGAACTAAAATTGAAATGATAGCTGCTTTTTCTCTGAAATCAGGATAGGAGGTAGATACCAGTTTTCAATGAAGTGAAAAGACTAGCTAAATGTAAAAATTCTGAATATTTAAAATTACTTCCAAACATTCTAAAACAATATATATCGATACAACTTATCTCAATGGTTCAATTCTTAAATTTCTTTTTTTTTTTTTAATTCTTAAATTTCTTAATGGGAAACTGTCAAGAAATGATATAACTCAGATAAATCAAAGAGTATAACCTGGTTACTTTGACTATAAAAATGTCTTAGGAATAAGGACTGATTTATTATAGGGAAGTGATCATATATTAATTGAGCACCTATTATGTGCCAACTATTATGGCTGGCACTGTATACACTTCATACCCATTTAATTCACTGCATTGGAAGGTTTATCATTTTAATTTTTGAGCAAAGGAAAATGACTTCATCAGGAGAAATATACCTGCCACAATGGTAGAACTTGATTTGAACCAGTTCTAGATGCCTTTATTTATAAAATGAGTTCCATGATTTATTTCTAGATAAACCAACACTTACTTTTCAGGCAGCACAACAGAAACCTCATAATCTGTTGGAGTGAGACATCGAACTTCTGAGTAAACCCGATCCCTAAATCCTGGGAAAAGGGAATTTCCTCCTGTCAAGACAATGTTCTTAAAAAAATGTGGCTGCATTTCTTTAGAAGGAAAAAAAAAAAAGGAGAAAGGAGAGAAAAAGGCATTAGAGAATCTCTTATCTTTCTGGAAAGACGACAGTGAGGGCTTAAGTACAAGCAATTAGGGATTTGTCACCCATTGAAAAACCATGTAAGATTTTTATAACCAAATAAGTTATAATTTATAAGCTATTGTAATGAGACTATACACAAATAAGAAAATGTAAACACAGTGAACATGCTCTTTCAGTGAAAGGCTAAGATGAAAGGGTTGACTAGATATCTGACTATAGAATTGAGGCTATGAGAAGAAAAACGGGAGGCTGGAGAGCAAAGTATAAAGGGGACCCAGCGGACCATGATGGAGAACTATGGGTGCTTTGGTGGTGGGTGTGGTGTGGTCACATCTAAATGGGTGTGATCCTGTACTCTGATTCATAAACAGTGTTGTAAACTGATGTTAGTAAGAAAATAAATTTAAAAAGATGGAAGAGCTGCACTATTGGATACTTATTGTACACATGCAAGCTATACATATCCAACTTAACATTTTAGTACTAGATATTTAATAATTACAATTGTTCTACTTAAAATGGAGGGGTTCTCACTGTAGATTGAGATTGTGAGTTACTGTAAGGAGGAAAGTGAGGTCCTTTGTGACATTTTAACTTGTCCAAATTTCCACATTATCCAGCTGAGACCTTTATTGTGTAGTACTGACATGTGACAGTAAAAAAATACATACAATTAATGATAATATTGAAATAAATAGGCTTATGTTATACCTCATTAAAGTTACACGATGGCAAACATTAGTGCCAAAATGTTAGCCAGTATTAAAAGCCTAAGCACCACTGGGAAATCTTTTAGGAACTAATAGGTCCTGGCCATCCTAGCTAATGCTTCTGTTTACAAACTAGGAGTTCCTTTATATTGACATTGAGTCTCATGGCACAATATTAAAATAGTATAGTACAAAATGTTGTATAGCTCATGACTACAAATTTATATAAAATAGAAAATGAATATGAAATATTAATATGAAAGTACTTAAGGAAGAATTCAGATGATGGCATTATGTGACTTTCTTTTTCATTATTTTATTTTTTTTTTAATGGAGGAAAAGACACTGCATGTGCTAGCTTTTCTCCAATGCCTGAGGGTTCCTTATGAACTGAGAAGATGTATGATGTAAACTCTAGAACATTAGTTAAATCAAAATTCATAGTAACTAGACATTACTATGAAGCACCTTACTTCAATCTCATTAAAATTAACTTCCTGCATATTCACCCAATTATTAAAAAAAAAAGGAAGAAATAAACCAATCCCATTAATAGCTAATAACCATTACACAACTAAATAAAAAATTCCTGGGGCCTCCCTGGTGGCATAGGTGTTAAGTATCAGTGCTATGCTGCTATCACCACTGTAGCCTGAGTTCAATCCACATGCCCAGGGCAGACCTCTCCTGTTTCGCCCTCTGATCCCCTCAGCAGTATATTTCAGTAGATCTGCCTGTTCTGCTCCCCACTTTGTCTCTGGTGAATCCTTTCACCCACCACACCTCTGGCCGACACTCCAGTTCTTATATACATGAAAAAATAAAAATAAATCTTTAAAAATAATATAAATTCCTATTCTGTGCAAATCTGAAATGTATATGGTACAGAATTTCTGAAATGTATATGGCACTTTAATACTCATGGAGGGAGAGATGAATTTCTTGAAACTTAAACAGACCATAATGACTTTTCCTATATAAAATTTATAAGACTAAAGCACATCGTGGAACCTGCTAATCTCTGCAAATATAACAGACTTGCCATTTGCTGAAAAAATTTAAAAGGAACAGATGACTTCTCTCGGGTTCAGAGAAGTCTTACAGTTTTTGAAAAAAATATCATTACTCTTCAATGCTTTATGTTGAACTTACCTTCAGGTAAATTCTGAATTGAATAGACAATAGCTTCTGGAATTCCCATTTCTTGAATGCCTATATCAGAAGGATTAAAAAGTATTTCTGGAACAGCAAATCTCTCATTGGCCAGACGAAGAATTTGTTCCCCAGATTTATATTTTCCACTTAACACCATCTCCTCTCTTGGCTTAAAGAAAAATAGGATAAAAATTAAACTACATTATCAAGCTCACTATCAAGCACAAATAGTAATCAGTAATACATAATACTAAACTATTAATCATGTTCTTGAAGTTTCAGTAATCTCAAAAAACAGAATAATATGGCTGTCTCTCTTATTGCCCTAAACTACAAAAATTAATGATTACTGGCTCTAATAGTTACTTCCCCCCAAATGATCTGGCTTTATTCTACACAATTTAAAAAAGAAAGAAAGAAAACAGAGGAATTAACTTCATCATGCACCTATAACAGCAGATAATTCCAGTTTCTAGAGAAGAAAGAGCATACTCTAAGCAAAAAGCATGTATTATATCTTAGGTTTCTACCACTATCTGTGTTCATTCTCATGTAAGCTACTTACTGGACTGGGGTGCTATTATAATTAAGATTACCTCTCTTCCTATACAAAAAGCTTAAATCTTCAAATTTCTTTCTTCAATACCTATCAAAAATCAGTTTCTAAGTGATTTAGGCAAATTACATGGATCTTTCCTTGAAATGCTTGCTATTTTCTGCTAATCTACCCATTCTATAAACTATATCCCTGAAGAAGTCAGGAAAAAAAAATCTCCTTCTACAACATTTTGCTTTAAAAAATTATGGTCCCTCTCAATCTTATCAGCTCTTCTAGATTCACTTACGGACATTTCATTTCAGTATAAATTTGACTTATGTATAGTGCAGTTTTCCTCCCAAATATCCCAATCCTTGTAAGGAAAAAATATTTTACATATATGAAAAGCCTTAATCTATCATTAAAAAGTAGTATGTTTAAAGAATATTATAGATTCCTTACTACAATAAGTCATCTACTATCTTCAGATTTCTGCTTCCTCAGAGAGGATTTTTCCATCTCCCAAATAAAATATTCTTCCATTATTCTCCACAATCAATTTTATCCTTCATAGTCTATATTATTCATCATCATATATCCACTACCTAATCAATTTATTATGAGTATGCAATAAATTCTTGAATAATGTCATATGAGCCAACACTGTGCAGTTCGTTGTATCAGGAATTTTACATACATTATCCCACTGGACTCTCACATAACCCTATATGGCAGGCATTATTTTCCTTTTACTGATAATGTAACTGGGCCCAGCAAGGGTATATATACTTTGCTTGGGATCTTTCATCTAGTAAACCAAAGTACATGCAATAAATTTCTTCTACTACACTGCCTCTCTTAAGCGGGATGTGAATGATTAAAATTTCTATCATTTACAAATTTAATACTAAAAACATTTTTAAATAAAAAATATTCTAAGTATAATATTCACCATACTCTAAGAACAAGGAAAACTATAAATAACTTTAACCCAACTAAACTTATAGTGATAGTCAGAAGTATATTATTCCTTCAAAAACACTATTTTTTCATAACAGAATAGAAACTGTATCCTGCAAATCTGCATAATCATTTATAAAGTGATATTGACTTGAGTTAAAGGATAAAACTATTTTTGTCAATACTCAAAATAACCTGAGGCAGATGTAGACTTGGAAAATTTCAGTTGACAAAATAGAGGTTATATGGTCCATAGACCTGATTTTACAGAAGATGATCATGTGACTTATGCAGGATCAAATGTCTAACTGGGGAAAAGAGTCAGAACTAGATATCTTTGTTTAATGTTAGCTCTTAAGTCATTACTCATTAATATGTAACCTAGAACTACAAGTTGTCCCTGAATCTGGAACTACAAGTAGTTCCTGCTTCCAAGAATACGATTCCAAAAAGATTTTATAGCTATAAACAAATGAAAGAATTTATAAGGGCTGCTGGCAGTTGCTATTTTAGTCAATGTAAACCATGATTACCGCACATTTCCCATAAATTTCCATTAAAGAACCGACCAGTTTAAATTACAATGACTTTTCAAGAAAGGGATCATCATTAATTATGAGGGCAATTTTCTCAATTTAGGTGAGTCAAGTGCATTACTGTTTAGTAAGCTTCTCTGTTGATTAGAGATAAAAAAGGAATCTTTATCAGTTGCAATTAGTAACAATATTAAGACATTATTATTATTACCATCATCAGTAGAAAATGAAAGTTATAACTTTTTCCCAAGTATTTGAATAAATTATCAAAAACCAAGTTTTTTTTTTTGTTTGTTTTGTTTTGGTTTTTTGTGGGACCCTTGCTGGTGGCCGGGGATCGAACTGGCGCTGCAGACAGCCTCGCAACCCAGCGCTCAACCACTGCGCCACCAGGGGAGGCCCTCAAAAACCAAGTTTTAATATCTATGTGTAAAGTCTCTCAAATATAGCTCTTTTTCACTTTGCATATTAATTTCCTAATTTCATGTTTATCAGCTCTGAAAGTTGCTGCATGTATATCAGGTATCAATGAAAAAAGTTAATCAAATATTACTTCAATACATTTCAGTATTAATTCTAATATATATAAAATATAACAGTTTCTAAATCTTAAAAATTACTAAGCTACAAGTATTTAACATGTAGAAATGTATAAACTTTTTAATATTAATTGACAAAGTAAAGATTACACCATTATTCCTGAAATAAACACTAGATATAATATTCCAATATCTGGCAAAAGTTCAATCCAACTACCTCTGTTGACTCAACTGATAGTGAAGTACACAAGTAACAAGGTGACTATATTGAATCCATAACCAGAATCTGTTTACAGAATACAATCATGTGACTTAAGCAGGATCAAATGTCTAACTGGGGAAAAGAGCCAGAACTAGATATCTTTGTTTAATGTTTAATTGCCACAGGCCAATAAAAGAAATGCAAACAACATTATGCACCTTATGAGTTTTTTCCTTTCCAAATGTCATGAGTAATACAACGGTCATGTGGCGAAACAATCACACCTGTACAGGCTCATGGTATGAGGTGAAGGCTTGAGAAAACGAGGCTTATGGGCAGCATGGAGGAAAGTGGCTGAGTTTAGCAATAAACTGTCAAATAAGCAGACAGGCTGTCTGTTGCAGGGCAGGGGAGAACTGTTTTTAAAAAAGAGAAAGATTCCCAAACCTAGTTGAGACAGTTCAATCACCTGAAAGAGACTTTTTCTCCTTAAGATTTAAGTTTAAAGTTTTCAAATTATCCTAATTATTACTTTATTTTGGCATTCAAGATAAATTTCTCAACACTTTGGAAGTGCACTGGATTTTGCCCTTTTCAGCTTTAATGTGATCACATTAGGACAAACATGAATTAAAATTCAACCCTAGGTCAACTATGTCAATAATTTTCGAATCAGGCAAATAACCAAGTTGTAACTGGATTTAAATTAATTCTTAAGTAAACAGAAAAAAGCAACCATAATATAAGTAAGGATACTGTTTAGCTCCAGATTGAGGATTTTTAAAATTACCTTACAAAAGCCCTTTTTAATTGTACTGAAGTCAGGTAAAACATAGTCTATCATGACTGTGTTTTCTTCTCCTTTCAACCTGGGAAACAAAAGAGACTTATGAAGTATTTTAACTATGTAACATTACCTAAGAACTGACTTCCCAATTCTTAAGACTACCATTATACTTACTTTGCAATATCCATGTCTCTATAAAAATCCTGAGACACATAGCATACATCTTCTTTCACCTGATTAATCACATGTGTTTCATCCATAACATGTAGCTGCCTGAACAGATAAAAATTGTAAAATTTGTAATGAAAAAATTAATTGGAATCAGGATTTATGAGCTAAGGTTTATCTAACATGATGTCATAGTTTAATGAAACCATTCTCAATAAGATATCGCTAAAAGGTCTTAACTCCTTGCACTTTATTTTTATACTTTCTTTTCCAATTATAGAAGTATTATGAATCAGCACAGAGCACCCGGCACATAGTATATGTTTAATATTTGATGTGTGAGTCACAGAAAACATGGACTTAATGTAGAATATAAAGATATTTTAAAAAAAAAGCAAAAATATAAAGCTATTTACTTTGAATATTTTTCTCTGCACATATTTACATTTTATGTTTTAGACTATAGGTTATCTCATGAACATTTTCTTATGCTATTGCATATGCTTTAAAATTTTTTTTATTGTCCTATAATATTCAGTTGAAGGAACCTATTAAAATGGATTTATCTATGTTCCTAATGTTGGAAGTTTAGGTCAGGGAGTAAAGGTACTTGTGCGTTAATGAACATGGACTTTGGAGTCAGACTTAAGTTTAATCACAACTTAGTATTCAAGTTATTTTATCTCTTTGGAATTCATCTCTTCAACCTTAGAAAGGTAAAAGATCACCTACTTACCAGAGGTATAAAAAGTAAATGATTGTAATCACATATTAGTGTTTAGAGAGTCGCTATGCTCAAAAAAAAAATTCTTCGTTTCATTCTTTCTGCTTTTGTAATAACAGACATCTATATATACACCATATTTCACCCGCTCAAAGGACTACTATTGTACCAAGGATAATATAATATGCTAATTAAAGCATGACAATTCCAAGGTATCAACCTATTGGAAGGTTCATCCCAGATTACAATGTGAAAAAAACACAACTCAGAATCAATGAAATATAGGTATTTTGATCTACTTCTGACTATCTCATTATTTATTCATGTTCTAGGACACAGAGTAAAAAATACTTTGTCTCTTGTTATACAGCCAAATTGTTTACCAGAAAAATTATTTCAAGTTACACTTTGATTGGCAGCAAATAAGTGTGCCCATATTACAAATCTGCAGCATCATCTTTTGAAAATAATTATATTATTTTGGATTGTAAAAATGGTCATTTAATATACATTTGCTCTACTAGGAAGTGCCATAAGGAAGAGGAATTCTTGTCTGTTTTGTTAACTAACTCACACATCCCAAGCTCCTAAATTAATGCTCAATACATATTAAATTGAATCTGTGATTACTCTGGATATTTAATATTTTTTTCCTGTCTAAGAATTACCCATTTATGTCCTTTATCTATAAGTAACTCTAAGAGCTCTTACTATAGTTAAGATAAATCTGTATCATGTTTGTTTCAGGCTTATTTCTCAGGCTTATATTTATCTGAGTTTTGTTTACAAAAGCTTTTGATGTACATAACTTTTAATATTTTACATATCTAAACACAAAAGCTGATGAAATCTATCCTATTTAAATTTAGTGGCCTTCCAGGCTAGAAGGAAACAGAAAGGGGATTAGGATGCTAGTAATATACCTCTTGAACTACTGATTTCTTGGGTGCATTCACTTTTTGAAAACTCAGAGTTATAATCATGGTTTGTAAACTTTTCTGTATGTATGCTTTACTTCAATGGAAATTTTATTGTTTTCCTCCATAGAAGAACTGGGGGTAGGCCAGAGGTAGGGGAGGTCAGAGGATTCACCAGAGATAAGAGTGGAGAGAAGAACAGGCGGATTTACTGAAATACACTGCAAAGGGGCAGAGCAGGTGAGACAGGAGAGGTCTGCTGCGTCATATGTGGGTTAGCTCCTTGGCAGGGATTGAACTCAAGCTGAGGTGGTGATAGTGCTGAGACTTAATCTCTAGGCGCAGGGTGTAAAGTCTCAGCACCATCAAGCTATCACCAGCCACTGCGGCATAATTTTGATCCCTGGCCAGGGAGTTAAATCACATGGCACAGTGGACCTCTCCTGTCTCGCCTGCTGCTCACCTCAGCAGCATATTTCAGTAAATCCGTCCGTTCTGCTCCCCACTCTGTCTTTGGTGAATCCTCATGCTCCCCACAACTCTGGCCTACACTCCAGTTCTTATATGCATAAGTAAATACAAATAAATCTTTAAAAACTAATTTTAAATTACATTAAAAAGTTCATTGCAAGCACCCCATCCTCCCAAAGAATCCAAATTAAGTATTACCTATATGATATGATCTCCTTTAGATGATTGGTTAAGAGTTTTCCTCCCACATTTATCCTAAAAAGGGAGAATTCAAATTTGATTGAGTTATCTTGCCTTTCATTCAATTTTATCCCAAGAAACATGAAAATTAAATGCAACTCACCGAATAATTGCTTCCTTTTTCTTTTTACTTCTACAATAAGGAACTATATGTGTAAAGGAATATCCACTATCTACAATGATGCAGCATAATTCGGAAGGATTATCTCGGAAATACCTATGTGCACTGAGAGCCCCAGCTATTTGAAAAAAGAAAGAAAAAAATAAACACATCACATGAAAGTATAATAAATTTAAAGCAATAAACAAAGGCAACAAACCAAGGCAAACACAAATAAAACATTTTCCTTTATAACAAAATATGTTAATGCAAAATAACATTAAAAACATTAAATTCTTTCACAACGTCTTTGCAGTGTTTAAATTTCAAAAATCAATATTTGTGGTGAGTTTTTAAACTTTGTATTCATTTCATGGCTTGTAATAATTATTTTAACATCAGTTAATTTTTCCTGAGGATTTATTATATGCTGAGTGTGTGTGTTTTAAGCCTCACAAAAATCTCACTTTACAGAGCAGAACTGAAGCACAGAGAAGTTAAATAATGTGTCCAAAGTCATGCAACTAGAAAGTAACAGCCTAGGTAATAACAGGGTTTCTCAACCTCAGAACTAATATTTTTGGGGCCAGATAATTCCAGCGTTCCTGTGCAATATAAAATGTTTAGTAGTCTTTTACGAAGTAGATACCATTATCAACCAGTTTTGATTTGAAATTAAATAACCAGCTGAACAACCAATAATGTGTCCAAACATTGCCAAATGTCTCCCAAGGGGCAAAATCACCCTTGCTTCAGAATACTGTTTGAGAGATTATGCACTTAGCCATCATAGTACTTTGCTCATATCAATGTAAATTCTGCAAGCTAAATATTTGAAGACGTTCATTGTAGTCATGTAATTCTAACCTTTAATAAACCTGCCTCTATATGCTGTTTACAATTTTCCCTCATATTGGCAGCCTGAGCTATTAACAGTATTTCAATCAGTAATAATGATAAGAAAATATATATTAGTAAAAATGTGAAGTAAAAGAAGAAGTCTGACTAGGATAATCTGTAAAGGTCCATCTGGTTTTTAAATTCCTTGTTTTATTTCCTTCAAATCTAAAAGAATGTTAATATTCTGGGATTTTATATGTTTTCTTTAGCCTATTTTTACATATTCACATAACTCAATTTCAATCAAAATTTTAGCTCACCATTTACTCGTAATACTGCTTGAAACTGGTATTCTTCAAATAGTATTTCATTCATTGATTCTTGAATTGAAGTAAAGTTAAAATACGGTTCTGTGATAATAATGTTAGTATCTAAAAAATCAACCTGGGGGGAAAAATCCAAATAGTTTCATAGCTTTGTAGTTATAAAAACTGTTTTAATTATACAAACAACCTTACTTAATCCTTACAATAATCCTAGGATATAGGTATTAGTGACATAGTTAGAATTTAAAACCACGGAGTTTATAAAATTAATGCACTTTAAGTATTATTTAAGTACTAACCCTCGAAATGGTAACAATAATAAAATGGTACCGTCAAATTGTTTAAAGGTAATTATGACAAAAGTAATGGAGGATATAACCCCAAGTATGGGTACTATTATTTTTGCTTTTGAAAGATAAAAGAATGAGAAGCTCTAGAATTAGAAATGTTTACATAATTCTTTCCTGCAACCTGTTAAGAAGCATTAAAGCTTGAACATGTCCTTAGTATACATAAAGTCACATTATAAGCTTTTAAAAGCATAAAATTCTCATCTGGTAAAGAGTCACACATTCATCTGTAGGTAAAATATTTTATTGTGAAAATAAAAATGAGTCTAATGATAGCAGAAATGTGAAATAAAATTTTAATCTTAAATTTCATACAATCTCTTCTCAACCTCAAATTCCATTTCAAAATTATATTCATTAGCATTTACTTATTATTTAGAAAGTCAAAGCGAGGCACAGTATGTCAAGTGAACTAAAATATATACTAGAAACATATTTAAAAATTTATAAATTAAGACATAAATTATAATTTTTATTTGAGTAAGGCATGAAAATAGAAATTTGAATACATACTCTAATTTGTTACCTGATACATTTCTTTTCCAAAGAGATAATCCCAAACTTGTCTTTGAACATCCCAATTCACCAAGTAGCCCTAAAAAATTTTTTATAAATTTAATTATCAAGAATATTTGAACAACTTCTTTAAAAATTAGATTAATATATTTCAAATCACTGATTTCTCTCTACATGTGGTTACTTTCACCAGTCTAAAAGCTGTTTGAACCTCAAATCAATTATATTGGTATGTTTTTCTCCTTTGAAAAGTTAAAAAAATTACAAATTAAGAGTAACCAAAATGTGAAGATATGAAAAGACAAACCAATATGTAGAGATGCCCTCTCCACTTAGCTTTAACATAAAAAATCAGATTCTGTATCCACAATCAGTAACTAAACTGCTAATTTTTAACAAGACAACTTATTTTCATTTTGTTTCAATAAGATTTTATTTACAATTTAAAAAGACCTTTACTCGTATCTAAAAATACTTTCACTCATACATAATCTCATATATACATTTTTAAATTATCTGTAAATTTATCTATGATGCTTGAAATGGCATACTGCATTACCTTCTGAAAAGGAAGGATGTAAAAAAGTCCAGATGGGTCTTTTATTTCATCTATCTGGTTAGCAGTGAAAGTTTTAAGACGTGCCGTTTTTGACCTAAACTGACAGTTAGGAATAACCCTGTAAAAAAGAGAAACAAATAATTATTCTCTAAATACTTAGTTCCTAACAATACTTTTATCGATACTTAAAGATTTATTTTGTTTATGCATACAAGAGCTGGGGTGTAGGCCAGAGGTGTGGGAAGGAGGTGAGAGGATTCACCAGAGACAGAGTGGGGAACAGAACAGGCAGATCAACTGAAATACACTGCTGAGGGGAGCAGGGGGTGAGACAGGAGGGGTCTGCCATGCCATGTGGGTCAGCTACCTGGCCGGGGATGGAACTTGTGCTGCAGTGGCTATGATAGCTTCATAGTGCTGAGACTTAACCCCTAGACCACCAGGCCCTAAAATGCCTTTTTTTTTTAAGGTTCCAGTATGTAACAGTTTTATAATGGACCCTTTATCTTTCCCATATAATCTTCAAAAAACCCTTACAGGTAGGTATAGGTTCTGCCATTGCACAGATGATGCTTAGGTCAAGTTTCTAGTTTTCTGACTGTAATGCACAAATTCTTAATACCTTTCTGGTGAAAGGCTGACAAATTCAAAAATGTCAGATTTGCAATTAGCAAGATTTAGGGTACAGAGTGGGGAGAAGTTTAAAATATGGTTGCAGCCCACCATCAGCTTACAATCTATTGAGGAAGACAAATTAGATCCATTATACACAGTGTAAACAAATGTGTATTTTATGTGTATGTATATATAGACATTTATATCTATGTTCACATATATACACACATATATAGGGGGTTATTGGGATAATGCTATAAAAATGTTTTCCACCTGCTTATTACTATACTGTCAGCATTTTCTGGATTTGTTTAAACAGTCTTTGAGGACATGATTTTAAAAGCTTCAATCTTGTGACTGTACTATAATTTTAGTTAACTTCCAGATTTTCATCATTTACCTCCTCTCCCCACCTTTTCTCTGCTCCCAACACAATGCTGAAAACAGAGCACCCTGTCCTTTTACCAAACACATCTAATTTAGTCCCGATCCTTGCTATGTCAAAGGATACGAACAATGATACACATTACCAAAACGACTTCCAGGAGACAGTAAGAAGTAAGATGGTTACCCTCTTTTAAAAAGTAAAAAGAAGTAAGAAAAAAAAAATCCTGTGATTACGCTAGAAGAAATGCAAGGCTTTAAATCTGTTTATGATTCAAATAATTATTCAAATAGCTATTCAAATAATTATTATTATTCAAATATTATTATTATTCAAATAATAAGCTATTTACTATTAATATTTGAATATCTGAATAAGATATTGATTATATAATAAATATGTATACTTATATTTATATACTATATATTATGATTCAAATACATTATATATATACAGATGTTTGCCACTGAAAACATGTATTTCTGCTTAACTACAACCAGGTGAGCAAATGGGCACTTCGCAGAGCTTAGATACAAAGCCTACAAAGTCTCCAGTCACTGAGATGATTCTCATATTTTCCATCATGAAACCCTCTGAGGATCTGATGCTATGCCAGTCACTTCACCAAGAAAACATTGCAATGCAAATCAAAACTACAATGAGATACCATCTCACACCAGTGAGAAATGAAAAAAAACTACCAACAACAAATGTTGGCGAGGATGTGGAGAAAAAAAGAACTCTCCTGCACTGTTGGTGGGAGTGCAAACTGGTCCAACCACTATGGAGAGCTGTGTGGAGATTTCTGGACCTACTAAACATAGAGCTTCCATATGATCCAGCAATTCCACGCCTAGGTATTTACCCAAAGGACACAGAAACATCAATTCCAAAGAGCACCTGCACCCCTATGTTTATAGCAGCACTGTTTACAATAGCTAAGCTTTGAAAACAGCCCAAATGCCCAAAAATAGATGACTGGATCAAGAAGATGTGGTACATATACGCCATGGAATATTACTCAGCATTCAAAAAAGATAAACTCATGCAATTTGCAGCAACATGGATGGCGCTGGAAGGGATCATGCTCAGTGAAATAAACCAGAAAGAAAAAGAAAAATACCGGGTGGTCTCACTCATAGCAGGAATTTAGAAAACCTAAATGAGGGACCAGGAAAAAGACTAATTGTGTAACAGGGTGGTCCCCAGGAAAGGGGGAGGTTCCCTGCCCCACCCAAGAGGGTGGACTGAGCAGGGATCCCTGTCCTATAACAATTGCAATCAAGTAAAAATCAAAATCAACAAGCAATTATAGACCAGAGACACGCGGGGGGGTCGGAGGTGGGGGATGAGAGAACAGGGATTAGGGTCAGAATAAAGGGGGTGGGAATTATATGGGGACTATAATCAAAATGATAATGCATACATTGTGCAAAAATGAAAAATGATGTAAGAATTACATAAAATAAAATAATTTAAAAAAAAAAAGCAAAACGCTGCCCCGGATCGAGAGCCTCGCATCAGGGGCCACAGTCGAGCCCCTCTTCCCTGGCGACTATTTTCGGGGCGACTTCCTGTTACGAAACGAGACCCACGTCCCACTTCCGGGCCGCGGGGCCCCAAATTATCCCCGACCCCGCGACCCCGAGCGCGGCGCCCGCGCGCGCATCCCTGGGCCGGGCAAGGCGCGCGGGGGCGCCCGCGGCCCCGGCATCCCGGCCCGAAGCGCCGCCCGGGAAGCCGCCAGCGCGTGCGGAGGCCGGCGCCCCGGGGCCGCGCCACTTACGAGACGTTCTCATGGCTGTAGCCGATCTTGGCGTTGTAGGCTCCGTTGTCCAGCACCAGGGTTGTCATGTTGGCGGGAGCCGCGCCGCCGCCGCGCGCCTGCCCGCCCTTCTGCCACCCCTCTTCCGGCACTCTATGGTTTCCGCGGGGCCGCCGAGGGCGCGCTTCCGGTGTCGCTTAGCAACGGAGGACGCCGGAAGCCGGAGCCTGCGGGCGATCCGACTTGTCCGCGGGAGTCAGTTAGTGCTGCCAAGCCCGGCTGGTTAAATTGTGACCAGCTCCCTTTTTTGAATGCTGAGTAATATTCCATGGTGTATACACATGCAATTTGCAGCAACATGGATGGCGCTGGAAGGGATCATGCTCAGCGAAATAAGCCAGAAAGAAAAAGAAAAATACCGGATGGTCTCACTCATAGCAGGAATCTAGAAAACTTAAACAAGGGACCAGGAAAATGAATAACTGTAAGAAAGTGAAAATCAAAATCAACAAAAACTATGAACCAGAGACACTCTATGGAGGGCGGGGAGGGGAGGGATTGGGGTCAAAATAAGGGGATTGCAATTATATGGGGAATATAAAAATAAAATTTATTTAAAAAAATAAATACATAAAATCATAAAAGCTTTGATATTAAAAAAAATTGTGACCAGCTCCCACTGTTAAGCGCTTTGTATTTGCATTATAAATTTACTGATAATTTAAAAAATGTATGTATGAGGTTATGTATGAGTGAAAGTATTTTTAGGTACAGTAAAGGTCTGTTTAAATTGTAAAGAAAATCTTATTGAAACGGAAAATTGAAATTGTCTTGTTAAAAATTAACAATTTAGGGGCGTTCCCTGGTGGCGCAGGCGGGTTCCCCTGTCCCTCCCTTGTCCACAGACTTGGCAGCGCGGCTTCTATCCCCGCCAGCCGGTGAGGTTCCCACATGGCACGGCAGACCTCTCCTGCCCCGCCCCCTGCTCCCCTCAGCAGTGTATTTAGTCAGTCTGCCTGTTCTGCTCCCTGCTCTGTCTCCGGTGAATCCTCTTACCCTCCCGCGCATCTGACCTGTGCCCCGGTTCTTGTATAAATAAATAATCTTTAAAAAATATTAACAATTTAGTTACTGATTGTGGATACAGAATCTGATTTGTTTATGTTAAAGCTAAGAGGAGAGGGCATCTCTACATAATGGTTTGTCTTTTCAGATCTTCACATTTTAGTTACTGTTAATTTGCAATTTGTTTAACTTTTAAAAGGAGAAAAACATACCAATATAATTGTGTATTTGTCCTTTACTGCACAAGTTGGCTTGCTCCTGCAAGTTTCTTCCAATCCCAAATGTGAACCAGCTGGTTGTGCGTTCAATAATCTTTTTCAGATGGTGACATTTCTTGAAAAATAAAGTTTGAAACCATAGATATAGCAAGGAATTGTATGAAGTCTCTCCAACCTTACTGAGTGCCAATACCCGTGGGACTATAGGAATCAACCACCTTGAATTGCAAAAATTTTCAGTCAACTGCTTGGACTTTCTACTTGCGCTTATACTCTTTCCCTGTTTGCTTTTTCCACAGACCGAATTCTTTTCCTCATCTTAAAGGTCTTCTTGACGTCTTACACATTATCTCTCTGTGACCCTCCTTAAAATATCTCTCTGTGCTCTTCCTAAGTGATCCTGTAGTACCCTGAGCTAATTGCTAATGGCTTAGGGAATGAATTTTGTATTGGAATCCAGAATCTGCAACAAAATGTGTAACCTTGGCTGATGAAAATAATGACTAATAGGCAGCATTTAATGTTTCCGGATAAAAAAAATTCGGGCCTCCCTGGTGGTGCCAGTGTTAAGTCACAGCGCTGTGAAGTTGTCACCAGCCACTGCAGCTCGAGCTCCATCCCTGGCCAGCCAGGGAGCAAGCCACATGGTATAGCAGACCTCCCCTGACTCATCTGCTGCTCCCCTCAGCAGTGTGTTTCAGTCAATCTGCCTGTTCCGTTACCCACTCTGTCCCCGCACCTCTGTCTTACACCCCAGTTCTTGTATGCATAAATAAATAAATCTTTAAAAAAATAAAATAAAATAAAATTACACATCTGGGAGAGGCTGAAATAACAATTGGACTACTTGTTAAATCTTGGTAGGACTTGGCAAAAATGAGTCCCTTTGGGGTCTGTTATTCATTTTTAAACCAATATTATAACTGCAAAGTAGGTACTATTGTTGAAGTCCAAGAGATAGTGTGGCTAAGAATGCAATGTCTGCACTCAAAGTCCTGGGAGAAATCATATCACTAGATGACTTGGACAGGTTAGTCAACCTCTCTGCACCTTAGTTATCTCACCTGTAAAATGGAATAACGGTACACCCCTTTGCAGAATTATAAAGAGAAAGTGATAAAAATTAAGTGTCTAACAGTAGTTATCCTCCTCATCATTATTTTCTTACGTCATCATTCTCTGTTAACTTGCATAGGTGGCAAACTAGTTAGGCACTCTTTTCACTGATATCTATATCCCTTGGTATCAAAAAGTCATTGAATGTCCAAAGTTAATTAAGCCTAAATTCAGTTATTCTATTTTCTCAAATTAAATATTAAAGTGATAAGAAATACTCCAAAGGCAAAGGATATTTTACAATTCTTACATCACACAGCAGTCATCATTTCTTTTCATATCTCCTTTTTAAATATATGCTCTTTCAATCCTGGTGCTCCTCTTGATTTTAAGCTCTTTCTCAGTTAAACTACTTTTTGTTTTCCTTGCCATTTACATGCTCCAAGATCAAGATCATTTTTTATACTTGGCTTCAGTTATTATTAAACACTGATAACTCTTATAGTATAATTTCCATTACCCTACTGTAACCAGGATGTTTATGACCAGATATCCCAAGATAACCTTTACAGCAACCAATGCAAAACTGAACCTTATCTCAGTTAGAGCTGAGTCCCAAGATCCACCCAGTGCCCCAAGCTAGAAACCTCAATTACCTTCAACTCGTGCCCTAAACTTAATCTCTGGAATCTGCCCTTGACCTTCTTCCATCCTTACTGATACTACTTTATCTCTTACTAAAATAATGCTAATGGGCCTCCCTGGTGGCGCAAGGGGTTAGGCACTGCACTATGAAGCAATCCGTAAGCCTCTGAAGCATGAGTTCAATCCCTTGCCCGCCAGGGAGCAATCCACATGGCGCAGCCGACCTCTCCTGTCTCGCCTGCTGCTCCCCTCAGCATTGTATTTCAGTCAATCTGCCTGTTCTGTTCCCCACTCTGCCTTTGGTGAATCCTCTCATCCCCCTGCATCTCTGGCCTGTACCCTAGCTCTTGTATGCATAAATAAATAAATCTTTTAAAAAATAAAACAATGCTACTGCCTTCTTAATGCCCTTTTTTTATTCCATTCTTGTTTCTTTATGATCTATTCTCTATTTTGCCAATATAATTATCAGCAAATGTTTTTCCAAGTCAAAAATATGATCATTCTCCCCAAATTGCCTTACCATAGAAGTCTTCCCTTGGTTTGACATTGCTTATGAAATACTGTCCATACATTTGCTATCCCCCTTCTGTCTATTTTACAACATGTGGTATAAATGTTTAACAACCAACTCCCCAGGGAATCACCTGGTTTGTAGTGTTTTTATTTCCTGTGCAGTAAACACCACCATAAAAGGCTTATTTCAAGCTATCCTGAAGTCGCCAAAGACAGCGTTGCTAAAAGATGCACACAACTATTTCTCATGAGCCAGTATAAACCAGCAGACACTGGTCAGTAAAATCTGACTCTATTCACCCTCACATCATGCACTCTCCTTCCCATATTTTAACACAAATAATCTCAAACATATAAGTACTGTTTCTCCCCCCAACACATATTTTACCACTGTATAATTTTAAGAGTTAAAAATATGCTACCAATCTAAATACATAATGAATATATGCAATAAAGAGTATTTAAATCATAATGAGTAAGCTAGCTTTATACCCTAGCTGGTTGATTCTTGCATTATGAGTTAAAAAAAATCTTTGATGCATGTTCAGCATATATTTGTACAACAGCCATGTTTTATACTTTTTGAAAATCATACCTTTATAATTAACTAATAAAAAGCTTGAAACTTTTCATAATTGTTTCATAACTTCTGTCTCTTTTTCCACAGTTATGTTCCACCTACCAGATCCCTCCTCCTCTGCATATTGAATAAATAATAATAGCTAGCATTCAATTGTGTATGGGATTCTCTAAATGTAACAGGGTGGTGTCCAGGAAAAGGGGAGCTTCCAGTACTTGACCTTCATTAGGTCAGTTAAAACACAGAACAGCCTCTTCATGGTCAAAGTGATCAGTCTTATGGCCTGGTTTCTATAACAAACTTATCAAACCCTTTATCCAAGCCTCCAGAACCTTCCTGCTGGGCAAGGGGTGGGGGCTTAGTTTTTAATCTTATCAAATGACACTCCAACATTTTTCAGCGGTGAAAACTGTTGGTTTGAAATTGAGTGGCATACAGGTGGAGCACTGTAATAGATCCCTTATTTCAACAGTTTCCTTCCTTTTTCAAACAATTTCAAGTGAAATTTACATCCTATTTCTGTAGCTACAACAACCTAGCAAGGTGGATAAGGCTGATATTATTAGCCTATTTTACAAATGCTTTAACTTAGGTTAAAGATAATTATTTTCTTCAGCTAGAGATTACTAGAGTCAGAACTTGAACTTAGGTCTTGTAATTCTCAGACCCTCTACTCTATTAAGACAAGTTGCCAGGGGAACCTCCTTAGTGGCGCAAGGGATTAAGACACAACCTATGAAGCTGTCTGCATCCACTGCAGCATGAGTTAGATCCCCAGACTGACCAGGGAGCTACCCACATGGCACAGCAGACCTCTCCTGACTCGCCTGCTGCTCCCCTCAGCAGTGTACTTCAGTCAATCTGCCTGTTCTGTTCCCCACTCTGTCTGTGGTGAATCCTCTCACCCCCCATGCCTCTGGCCTGTACCCCAGCTCTTGTATGCATAAATAAAAAATCTTAAAAAAAAAAGACAAGTTGCCAACTTGTACTTCTGCTAAGAGTTGAAAATAGTATTTAGCCAGGGGAAACTAGAATATTTCAGCAAAGGGGAAGACAGAGGCAAGTATATGAAGAAGAAAGCTGAGTAAGCAAAAGAGAGTAAAGCAAGCCCTGCAGTGTTTGGAACAAATTCTGAGGAAATAAAGAAAAGAAACAGGATATGACAGCGGCTTTTAGTGGTGGAGACAGGAATAAGACAAGAGGGAGGGTTAGGCTGAGGGCCTGGAAGTTTCTGGGATTGGTAATCAAACGCCCCTATAGAGTCAGGACAATCGAGGGGGGCCGGGTTGGGGTCCACAGAGAAGGTGGCAGCCCCATCTGCGCGCTCCCGCTTTGCCCACCCTCCAACTGCGGCCGGTCCTGCCCGCGCTCGCCCCGCCCCTGCCCGCGCTCGCCCCGCCCCGAACCCGCGCTCGCCCCGCCCCTTCCCCGTTCGCCCCGCCCCGGACCCACGATAGCCCCGCCCCTTCCCCGTTCGCCCCGCCCCGAACAGCACCGCCCCCGCACTCCCTCAGGTCTCTTAGGTGATGCCGCAGCCAAGATGGCGCTGGCAGCGGCCGCGGAGGCCTGAGCGCAATGCTCCGGGTCATCGGCGGGCGCGGCGGCGGCGGCTGTGGCCTCGGCCCAGGCCTCGGGGCTCTCCGGGGCGCCCAGTCTCAGGAGCCCCTCGCCCGGCAGTGAGCAGCCGAGGGAGCGCGCGGCTCCCCGCGCCCCGGCGCCATGGCCGGGCTCATCAAGAAGCAGATCCTGAAGCACCTCTCCAGGTCAGCGCGCCCCGCGCGTCGGGCCTGGCCGCTGCCGCCCGGGCGGCGGGGGGGCGGCTAGCGAGGGCCCCCGCTTCGGCCGGGGCGGGGGTCGCGGATTCGGGGCGCCCCAGAACCAGCCCCTGGGCCGGCGCCGCGCCCGGCCGGCTCGCGGGGCCGCGGCTGGGGTCGCCCCGCCACGCGGCATCTGGGGGCGTCGGGGACCCCTCCGGGGAGGTCCTGCGTGGTGGCTGGAGAGCCCGAGCGTCACCCAGGTGTCGGGGGTGCGTGTTGGGGGGAAGCTGAGCCCGGCCTGTCGCCCAGGAGCGGAGCGGTTCCGTTAGCCGGGGCGCGGGGCGCTCGGGGGACCCCCGCATCCCGGCTGCTGCCTTCTCGGAGAAATGTCACCCCTGTTTTTGGTCTGGATTCACCCCGCTTCGCCGTTCCCGCTCGGGTGCATTTGAGGGTGTGCCGGTTTGCACAGTTAGGATTTGTTTTGGGTAAATAAGCGGAGTCCCCAACCTTGGCAAGTTCTTTCTGGAGGCTTTTTTAGCCCCACATCATTTTTACAGAACAGATTTTTCTTTCTTTTTTTTGCATTTTAAAATCTGAGGCTGATACACGAAGGGAGGCAACATCTGTGGTGACAAAACCCAAGACTTTATATTCTTTCCATTTCATAACGCGGTTTTAGTCAGAAACATGACTCAGTAAAGCTGGCAGTTTTGTTAACTGCTCCTGGCGTCTCCATATTTGTCTCAAGACACGGGCTAAATGTAGGATCTTTTTTTTTTTTTTTTTCCTTCATCTGGTATCTTGTTTCCAAGTGGTTAGCAGCCAATTAAAAGCTCTTGGTCGGAGGCTTCTCTTTGTTGTTTGTAAGTTAGCGATTACTTTGAACTGATTTTAGGAAAGCCTTGGGTATAATGATCTGTATTTGTCAATAATTTTTCTTGGTTCTCCACATGGATGACTACCACAGGTTGTGTGTTGGGACACAAAATCAGTATTTCTGTAAGTCAGCGAGTATTTTATTTTCTTCGTTTATAACATTGACTAACATCAAACAGGTTCTGAAAAAGTAACACATTGTAGCAGCACTATAAATATGCATTTTTTTGTATTATCACTAATGGGAAACTTTTACAATTGTACGTATGATCTCATACTGAATTATTTTTGAAAAATGTTTTTATCTCTTTTTTTTTTATTGTGTAGGTAAGGAGTGACTTGTCAGATGTCCCCCAATCTTTCTCATATTCAGTTCCCCAAGAAATTTCAGACCTATAGTAAATGATCTGAATGTGTTTTCTCACTCTCCCAACGATGATGGTACAAGACTAAGTTCCATCCTGTATGCATGAGAGAAAAGTTAATTTAATCAATGAGTGCCTTAGGGCATTGGCATTTAATTCTCTAGTAGAGCTGTTGAGTAGGGCTCTTAAAAATTAATAGCAGAGATAATGGCTTACGTCATAGCAGACAACACCCACATATTCAGAATTGAGACTTTAGGATTACTTTTTAATCTGTATGATTTCTAATAACTGTGTTGTGATGAGGATATTTTTTCAGAGATGAATTTTTGAAATGCTGTTGACTGATGTTGTAATAAATTAGAGTTATTCAAGTAGGGATGAATTTTTGAAATTACCTGGGTCAAGCTTAATTTTTTAATAATCCGGTAATGAATATGTAACTGTTTTGGACATATCAGCTGAAATATAATTTAGTGGGAATACTTAGAACATTTTACCTTCTAATAATAAACATTCTTTCTCATGGCTCCCTTTTCTCTGTAGCACTCATCCTTATGTGTTGTAATGTATATTTGTTTATTTGCCCTTTGTCTTCTGTGTTTGAATGTAAACTCCATAAGGGCAGGAATTTTTGCTTGGAGACAAGCATAATGTAGGCATTCCAGTTGAATGCTGAATTATTTGGGAAGTGTGAATCTATAACTGTTCTCTGCCTGATTATTTTTTTTGTATGTCAAGTATGTCTTGGCCTTGTTAATAAAACAATTTGTGTACTTGAAAGTGATCTGAAAGGGAAGAGAGAGAGAAATGGTGGTGGTGGTGGTGGGAGGGGGTGTCAGCAGTTAGGTTTTAAGAGAAGTAAAACCGGAAATACACTTGAAGGAGAAATTACCCAGATCCCCCTTTTTTAAAAAAAAAAAAAGACACCACAGAGAATTAGCAGGCAAATTATAGATCTGAGACATACTTCAGGGAAGGGGGAGGGGGGAGGTCAAAACAGGAGAGGGGCGAGCACAAGGGACTAACTATGGTGGTGGTTCACCGGTGAGGTGGTGATGGGAGATTTATGAGGAATTACGCTGCAGGGGAGAAATCAAATATTGTACAAAAATTATGTAAGAAAATAAAATTAATACACAATAAAAATACTAAAAAACAAATAATAAAATGATTTTATTTATTTAAAAAGCAAAAATGAGGCACCACCATGATCTAGAAGCTTTCCTGGGGCACTTGGGGTATGTTGACCCCTGTGATTTCCCCAAATGCATACCTTATGGTAGTGGGGGGTTGCACTCTTCTCTGGAGCTGGGGTCAGGGAAGACCTCAACTGACTAAATTATAAAGATCTTATTGGTTTTATTCAACTGAATAGGGTGCTGTCCCGTCAAGCACATAGAAAGGACTCCCAAGTAGCTGCACAGAATTAGAGACTCATAGACAGAAGGTAGCAGGAATAAGGAAGTTATGCTAGCAAAAAGTAGCTTGGTTGTGGGAAGGTCACTTTCCTCTAGGAGATGGCAGGGGTCAGTCAGGTGGATTGCCTCACTAGTACTGACCTAGTTCTGATTGACCCGTTTAAGATTCCATTTCTGGGAGAGGCTGAAACTATAATTAAGCTAGTCACTGGTGATGTGAAGCTTAGTAGAAGTGACTCCATTTCCGACTGGTTGTCTTGTCTTTAACACTTTCATACTCTATCTGGCACAGAGTATATTTTGGAGGCTTTGCTAGGAGGGTTTGTTTTCTCAGGGGGATGGGAAGTTTTACAGAACAGCTCTCACAAATTTAAGAAAGGAAATAAGTGCAGGAGCTAGTTTTTAGCTCAAGACGTCATTATTTGTAACTGTGTGTACTGATGGGCTTAAGAAGAGGTATGGAGGGAGAAAATAGAAGCTTGAAGACCGGTGAGAACCTGAAATGGGGTAGGGAAGATTCGCATCCACTTGCCCTCTTCCCTTCCGGCTAAGTTCAGGGCATTCAGTGCTGGGCACGAGATATATTGGGGAGTGGAAGATAGCAAGACAGACTTGCACCACACCTTGGTAGCGTCTTTGTGTAGTTGAAAGCAGTGGGTTAGTGATTTTTTGCCTCTCAGGGAACATTTGGAAGTTTCTGAAGACTTTTCTGATTCATGACATGGGGTGGGGGAAATCTGCTCTTTAACTTAGGTGAAAGGGAAGTAGATAACTAGGAGTGGGTCACAGAATCTGAAATGGCAAGCCAACCATCGCCTAGAACTTTATTAGAAGAGTTCATGGAACTTCCTTTGGGAGAAGTGTTTTTCAGCCTCAGCACTATTGACATTTTGAATAAGATAATTCTTTGTTGTGGAGGGCTGCTCTGTGCATTGTGACATGTCAGGCAGCATCTCTGATCTCTACCCACTAGATACCAGTTGCACTCCCACAGTCCTGACAATGAAGAATTTCTCTAGACATTGCCAAGTGCCCGCTGGGGGACAAAATAGCTTTTGGCTGAGAACCACTACTTTCAGGGGCTGTCCTGTCCATCATGACTCCCAGCCTCTGACCTTTCTTGTCAAGTTTCAGATTCCTAGGAGAGAGAACCTGTTTGTCTTGTTTCTATCTTTTTACGGATCAATTAGCAATTGCAAAGGTTTATATAGCAAAGATAGGAATGGTCATAGGGAGAACTATTTGCAGTCAGACTTGCTGCTCCATTTGTGTCTGTAATAGGCACTGAACTAAATTTGATTTCAGAGACCTCATTGGCTATGTTGAAATTGAACTGCATTCCAGGGGTGACTGAAAATAAAGAATTTTGCACAAAAGAGGGATATGATCTTTAAAGATACCTGGTTATCAGTTTGGCTTTTTTGGAACCCAGGATTGAGAAGCAATTATCTAAGGTGGAACAGTATGAGGTCTACAGAGGTTCTGATGAACTTAAGTAGAGAAGAGCATATAGGGAGGATATCAGTATCCTACATAATTTATGGGAAGGTTAGAGCACTACCCATACTTGGAAAGGAGCTGGTTTCAGGCCAGAATATAGGTAGGAGAAACTATTTGACAGTCTCAACAAGACATGTTCCCTAAATGAAGGGGAAGGAACAGAAAGCAAGGTGGGGCGTAGAGAGCCTGAGAAGATTGTAGAATGTTTGGAATATTTGCTGAAGAGATTAGAAAGGGTTGGACACTTGCAGGGTCTTATGACTGAATGGCAAAGTGATGGGAGTTCTAGGTTGTGCCTCACAAGGTAATTCTAGGGTAGCTTAGGCTATGTGAGGGGAGGGCAGCCGCACATAGCTGGGGAGAAAAGGAAAGGACCTTTTTTTTTTAAGATTTATTTTATTTTATTTTATTTTATTTTATTTTATTTTATTTTATTTTATTTTATTTATGCGTACAAGAACGGAAGTGTACGCCACAGGTGCGGGGTTGGGGGTGGGGGTGTGTGTGAGAGGATTCACCAGAGATAGAGTGGGGAGCAGGCAGATCTATTGAAATACACGCTGAGGGGAGCAGCAGGTGAGAAAGGAGAGGTCTGCTGTGCCATGTGGTCAGCTCCCTGGCTGGGGATGGAACTCATGCTGCAGTGGCTGCGGATAGCTTCATAGGGCTGAGACTTAAACCCTGTGCCACCAGGGAGGCCCCTGTATTGGACATTTAAAAAAAATACATTATTTTGATTGTGAAAATTATTTTCTTAAATGATAACTTCATATAATTATTGATAGAGTCATTATTATGTCTTTCACTCTATGGTAAAACCCATAGAGTTTATTATGTGCATAGG